CTTATTATAACGTAAACTCTCTGTAAATTCAAATATATATATTTGTGTGCTCTCATTCTCGGTTGAGTATAATATACGCTCTCTAAATTCCACCCTAAAATAAAGATTGTAATCTTTTTATAAAGCCTAATAAATCATAACGATAAATATCTGAATTCATCGAATTTCTAATGTCAACCATCAGAGCTAAACTCGGCATGACAGTACAAAGCCCTCCGTTATAATGTTTACGCCAAAAGCTAGAAGCTATTCGTATATTATACATACTACAAAAATGCTAAAAGTAAATTCGAGTATTACAAAGAATTGGTTTGGTGATTTCCGAAAAGATTTGCAAAATATTATATTTTAGTATTTATAAGCCATGTTGCTAAAAATAACAATTCTGTATCAGATTTGTCAAAAAGGAAATATTTCCTGTATCAAAAACCCCGGAAATTAAGCGATTGAGGTAAAATTGATGGAATTTATTCAGATATAGAAATCAAAGCACTATCGATCTAGCACTCTATAATAATAATAATTATACAGTTAATGCGTTGTTTTGTTGCGATCTATAAATTTTAGATATACAGCCGGGCCTCTTTAAGTGCAACTCGTTGAGGCGAATTTAGAGAACAATAAGAAAAATTGCATTTATGGGAGTCAAAAATAAATATACTTAGGCTAGAGCTTAAGGTTGCATTTAGAGAGGTCATGTTGATCGATTGACACTTGTTCCCGGTTCCTGGTACGTACGTACATTCTACAATGCCGGCGTAAACCTATTTTAATGAAACTCATTTTGTGAAATGATTCTCAGACTTTTCAGGAAATCGTATTTATTCCTACAATGAAATATTAAATATTATCTGTACTTTCTGAGAACAAACAAACCACCAAAGAAGGTAAAATTGTACGACTAATAAGATAACGCCAGCATAGGGGTAATAATCGGTTATGTATGAAACTATTTATAAAATTGCTCCTAAATTACATATGTAAGTAAGACTGATTGATAGTCTTGATTTCAACCATTAGGCTTTGTAAAAATGCATCCGAGAACTTTCAGCGGGTTTCTCCACCAGTCTGAAGTGAAATCCATTAAAATATTTAGAGTAACTTTTATGTGTATTTTATATGCCTTGGTACTTGCCTACACGACTTGGAAGCTATGGCAGCTAAGTAAAGTGGATAAAATGTTAATTTATCAGCAAGAAACATATTACAGCATTCCAGCACCATGTAAAAAAAAAAAATTATTTAGCCTTTTTTTTTTTTTAAAAAAAAAAAAAAAAATTTTTAATTCAAAAACTATACAGCATATTCTAATATTTCTACTTTATGGTAATAGACGTATATATTATTTCTTATTATAATTTCTCCGTAGACTGTGTATATGGTTATGGAGGTAAAAAATGTTAAATACTTTCAACCCTTTTTCACAATTGAATTTAATTAATCTCTAGTTCAACTTCTTAAGGATATATATATAGTGAAAGTACTCAGGATTGCACTCAAAAAATAACGAGAATATATAATAACTCGAAATCTTCATTTCCTTTTATATCGATTTTTCGATCAAATTTAACTTTAACAAGTCACATAGATGAAAATGCACCTAGCGCTGATCTTCACATAAACCAAACAGGATCATTGAATATGACTTATATTTCTTTTAATATAAACCAAACAAACCTAACAAACCCAAGTTCCACTTTATTTCAGTTATTTGATCCAGGTAGATTATCAACATTCACAGCTTAAAGTGATACAGTATTGATTATTTATTTGTTTATTTTTTCATTTTTATTTTATTTTATTTTTTGTAGAAACGGATGCAATAAAAAATAATAATGATTTATTAAACTCGTTGTCTAAAGAATCGCAAGGTTTATTAGATGATTCTGAATATGCAAATACCTTTGTACTTGGGTCAGGGAGCGTATGTAAAATTTAATTTATGCCGTGGTTAATATTGTTTATATATTAGAATTTTCTAATTGTAAATTATTAAAATGCTTTTATTATGCAGGTATATACTTTAAAATACACAAAACAAATCCGTGAAGTGCTTGTTAATGTACCTAGCAGTATATTCTCTTTGAGTCCTACTTATGAACGAATACCATATATTACTTCAAATCTTGGTGAATATTAAATACAGTGAAAAGTAACTTATTCATACTTGAATCTAACTTGCTTCTTTTTTTTATTTTTTTTTTCTGATTTAGCAACTGTCTATATGCCAAATTTAGGAAATCAATCCATTCTTTCAGTAGGTTGCGGGTCAACTACAATTGAAACTGAAGAAGAAAGATTGTAATGCATATTTTGATATTAACTTGATTTCATTTATTATCATATTTCTTATGTTCAAATTTATCATTAATAAATTTCTTATATACGAAATATCCTCATCCAGAATTTTAACTTTATTTGATGTTTTCGGTTTTGTTGGTGGTTTATTTACATTGGCCACCTCAATAAATATATTTCTATTTGGTAGGTATATTCTCTTATGTAACTTATAACAGACTTAAATACTAAAAAAAACTTTTAAATAGGTGAAAATACTAAAAATCCATGGGGAATAGTACAATCGATTTCTTGCTGTGGTATTAAGAAAAGAGTTCAGAACATTCTCTACGAGCATTTGAAAGATCAGATTCCATTTGCTGATGATGGTGCACATTTAGACTATCCTCCTGAAAAACTTGAAGATAGAATAAGTGCAATCGAACAACGGCATAAAGCTTTAGAATTTCTTCTTCGAGATTATGTGGTTAATGTTAATATTCTTCGTGATAACGAAATTGACAATAGATTTTATAAATTCAAAAATCAAAACTGATAAAGTTTTTAAAGAAATTAGGATTAGAGTAAACAAAATCATCCGATTATTTTTTCACCACATATATATTGGATTATCTCTTTGTCACATTTTTGTCTATTGAAATATTGTATTTTACGAACACTAGAAAAATAGTGGTATTTATTAGGTTGAGCCTATTATCGTTAAATTTTATGATAAATGAAATATAGCAAATATTAAGATAAACATTTTTATATGCTCCACGTATTTACAATGACGTGAAAAAATAAGTGAAATCGATATTTTTGCATTTTTTTTTATTGTGGTTAACACTATGAATATTATGGGCAAAACTAAGCCTAGCAAAAAGTATAAATTTGGCCGAGAAATATAAATTTGACTGCCCAGAGTTATCGGAAAGTTTCGGATGTGATTTTTTGAACCAATTTCTGGTCAAAAGTAACCTAATTCTATGCTAACAGTCCAACTCGGTCTATTTTTAGCCTAGTTCCGTCTGGTCTTTTTTTGTTTGATTGTTTAAACCAGTCTTTTATTATGAATTCAAACTCAATGGGCTAAAATTCCAGTCTGGGTTTATAATAAAGACCGGTCTTTTATCATGAATTCAAACCTAATGGTTTAAACTTTCAGTCAGGATTTATAATAAAAGACTGGTCTCAGACCGGTCACTTACATTATGAATTCAACTTATAATAAATGACCGGTCTAAGGCCAGTCTTTTATTATGAATTCAACTCAATGTACTTGTAATTAGTCTTAACCCGGATAAAAATTTTGGTCTGGACTATAGTCTAATTTTTTAGGCTAAGACTAGACCGAATAGGATCGTTTTTTTTAGGCTCAAACCGATCTTATGACGGACATGAATTTCATATGATTTCATATGTCAGTCTTGTGATCTCAGAGTGATTTGCTCATAAAATCGATGCAATAGAACAAAAAAAATGTATTATTTAATGAGTTTCACAACGGATTCAATCTTACCATAATTCGAAAACTTTGAAGTATAAATTAAATACTTAACTAGCTAATAGGTAATCTTCCAGCACCCATATACTATCCCTTAAACTGTAGACAATTCCAGGCAAATTTGCCTGGAAAATTGCTATAAATTTGCTTATGATTTACTTTTTT